ACTTGGCAAAAACAGAGATAGCGATACATGATTCACAAAAACCCAAAAAACAAAACCAACAACAAGAAAAAGACAGGGGAAGACAGTGCCATATGATGGAAAGTCCTTGAGGTTCAGAGCTCAAGAATGAGTTTGTGTCCGATTTCTACAACTTTTGAAGCCTTTGACCACTGGCAAATTCATACCCTCTGTTGCTTTGAGTTATTCTCTCTGTAAAATATGTAAATTACAGGTAATTCATAGGATGGTTTCAGTAGAACATGTTCATCACAGAAATTAATTTTTTTAAAGTTAGAGTCTTATCTTCACCCACTATCCCTGAGGATGCATTTAAATTATCTGAGAGAGAAAATCTCAGACCCTGGGAGGAAGGGTCATCTGGTCACAGTTAGGTATTCCCCTAAAGAATCTAAATTCATGTTCGGTTTCCAATGAACATAACCCATAGCAATGTACATCATAAAGATAGTATGTATGTTCTTTTGGTCCTAACCTGGAGGGCCACTTCTTTGATTCTTTTCTAGTTTCAGGTGAAATCTCTGGCTATTCTATTGAACAAATCTGAAATGAGAAAGAACTTGCTGGTGCTTCATGCCCTCTGTGCTTCCCTATTACAGTCATTTCTATTTCTCTACTTCTGAACTACAGTGGGATGATAGAGACTTCCCTACAAAGTTTTGTAACTAATGGAGTTGTGTTCCACATGCTCCCTTTGTTCTCGCCTGCCCATACACACCTGGGTTCCTTTTGGATCCTCTTTCAGATGTGGCCCTGGCTCTGTGGTTAGTCCATACAGGCCCCTGCACAGGATCTCCCAGTGTTCAAGCCCCTTTACCCTTTGTGTCTCTCCTCTCCTCTTTCATCATTTTTCTCCAGACCATGGAGTCTTTACCTAACCTGAGGACAGGGTGAGCTGACTCCCTTTTCAGTCTTTCTCAAGCTATTTTTATGGCTAAAACTTAGTCCTTCAAATGTTAAACTCTTCAAACTAAAATATATCTAGATACTTCAAATCCTGTCCTCTTTATGAGTTTCAAATACCTATGCTGAAATTTTAAGAGTGAAGAATTATTTTGTTCTCTCTGCTTTTTTTTTTTCTATTTGTGTTCTCTCTTTGCTGGGATATTAGCTTGGAAAACTCTGGCAAAATAAACGAGAAAAAAGGTAAACTATTAAGAAAAAATGGAGAGAGAAGACACATACACATTTATAAAATCCATATTATGCTCCACTCTAAGTAGACAGAAGTCAAAACATGGATATACAAATAAACATTCACATATACCAGGTAAGTATTTGCAGTGAGGTAAGTAGACACAGACTTTTCAAGAGACCTAATTTAAATGTATTGAACAGTTTCTATAAAGAAAGCAAGTTGTTTTGAAATATATCTTTTGTTTTGTTTTAGAACAGCCAAAAGAATAACTGCGTAGTCATTCAAATATGACACATATTTTATTCATTGTTCATGGTGAAGCCTCCAAATGGTGGATTGATGCCAAATATGAATCCTCCAGTCTAGAATGTTAACTATTCTTTTTGTAAATGTAAAGGACTCATCAGTGATGAAAGCTGCACTCCTCTGCTGGGGAGGCTGTTTGATTTTCGATGTGGGTGTTAGAGAGCAGGGCTTTCATCTCTCCTATGGAGGCAGTTTGACGGCAAAGCAGAGGACTCAAATATGAAGGTGAGGGCCTGTGTGCTCTCTTAGTAACTGTGGAGAAAACCTACAGTTAATCCAGGCAGAGAGATAACACTTTGTATTAGACAAGTCATGGGAAGATGAACAATGTACAAAAGGCTCAGAGAAAATAGCACCTTAGGGTAGAGCCAACAGATGAAGGTGACAAAAGACTGGTGGAATGATTGTACCATGTAAAAATACATTGGGTGAGTCTCAGAAATAACCGGGAAACCATTTTTGATGGATGGCTCAGGTCCATCAAATGCACCAATTTGTTCAATACTTTCCTGGTTTGAGCACTGAAAGCCCTGCCTCTCAGGGCAACATAGTTCTAAAAAGAGAGGGATGGTTGATCCTTGTGCTTTCTGCAGATGTTGTGACTTACTTATTCTGGGCTGGGACATCCAGAACTGAGGACCACTGATACACTTGGATACAGCCAGATGAGTCGTGTTGGGGCTGGATTGTGGAGGCCCTTGCATTTCAGGCAAAGGAGTCTGTGCCTTGTTTGAGAGGATTCAGTGCTATTTAAGAGCGCTAGGTTATTAAATGGCAAACCCAGGAATGATAAATCAGAGGAAAGTTGGAAGAGAGGCCATTTGATCATTACATATTCTATGCATATAAAAATAATGACATGTACTCCATAAATGTGGACATATATATATATATCAATAAAAAAAAGAGTCAGGCAGTTAAAGTAGGCTTAGATAAGAGGGGTTGTGGGAATGTGAATGTTTCCCAAAGGGAGGAGTTTGACTAATTACCTTATATAAAGAGTAGAACAAATAGTGTGCATTATCTTTTCCACTTTTTGTTCACAAAATAAAAAAGATACCTGGGTCAGGTAATCATTATTATATAACGTCCTCTAACTTCAGTTTTGTGATAAGTAGACTGTCTTAGAGACATAGAGGAAGGCTTCTATGACCTTTCATAGCCTGGCCTTGCATTGTGATGCCATCAAAGTATACAAAAACACAATTACCTATTATGAATTTCCTTTGCCAGCAATCCCTTGGAAGGCAAAGATTTGCTTTGTATGTGCGCATTTGTGGTTGACAGGTAAAAATATTTGCAGAAAGGTCACCAGGTTGTGTAGAGCATAATGGAACAGCAATATTTGGAATATATTTCAGAGCCAAAAAATATAGATTCAGAAACATATAACACATACAGTGTTCTTCACTCACACACAAGTATATACACTCACACATGCTCTTACACAGTCATACATATGCACATGCACATGTTCAGACACACAAACACCTCTATATTTCTCTTTTAATATCAGGCCTGCTATAAGCAAAAAAAAAAAAAAAAATTAATGGAAAATAGATGGATCAAGGAAAAAACATCACCTCCGTTTTGTTGAAATTTTAAGAAACATCAGATAAATAGTTTCATCTCTCATGAAATCCTATAGCCCCTACAGCTGTTCCTGAGGAAGCTCTTAGCTTCCTTGGAGGTGGCAGATAGCAAGGTATCAGATCCCATAATCAAAAGAGGCCTCCAAATCCTGTAATAGCCAATCATCATGTGAGAAAACTGACTTTTCAGGTTTCTTCCCTAAAGAGACAATGACTGGTTTAAGCCTTGGGCAGAAAATGTCCTGCCTTTAAAAAAGGGACAAAAGGTTGAGAACAGAGAGAAGAAAAACACGTATTTGGTTGAATGTACCCTGCAGGTAAATGAATGATTCTGGTGTGAGTGTAAAAATGGGGATAGGCAATTTATATTGAGATATAAAAAATACATTAATATATAGATACAGATATAAATATAAACATAGCTTTATCTAGAATAGAAACAAAGAAAGAAGTAAAATCCCAAGGTGGAGATCTAGGGCAAGTTTATTTGTGTTCTGAGGGTATAGCATTCCATTTTATTTGGAGAATTTTGAGAGTAAAGAATAGTCTTAGGTGAATTGCAAAACAAAGAAACTGAAAAAGTCTTTAAAGATTATTGTTTGCTAGAGTACTCAATGATCACAGAGGTAGGAAATGGTCATATGCCATCATTAGTGGTCTAACCACTAATCCAGTAATCTGCCATAATAATCTACTCAAGAAAGGATGGAAGAGGCCACCCACAAAGTTATCCTGAGAGACTGATGACATAAAACCAAAGTACAGATTGAATAATAGACAATGACTTGGAAGTAGCTAGGGAGTCTGTGGGGAGGAAGAGGAGAATTTTTTTTTTCATCTAAAGCCAGTTAGGGGGAAAAAAATTATCAAGCCAGCAAATACTTAAGCCCATTAGGGTTTCCCAATACTATCAGTGGTGGACAGTTCATTCCTTCCATAACTTCCCTGGAAGAGAGGAAGGAGATTGGAGCACATCTGGAATGTCTAGAAGCAATCTCTTTCTTTCTCTCTCTCTCTCTCTCTCTCTCTCTCTCTCTGTTGTTAGTGCCAACTGGTCCCTGACTTTCTCTGGTCAAAGAAAGTTGTGTGTGTACACATAGTGTGAATTTCTGTGAGCCCCTTCTTCCCAGAGTCTATCTTAGGCCTCACAGCTTGGAGATAGCCAAGTAAACATATTACAATTGTTAAAATTAGCATAAATTACAGGGTCTGGGAAAATTAGCATAAACTACAGGGTCTGGGAAGGTCACAGGTTTGAAGGACGGTAGGACAATTGTTCCATGGAGGGCAGTTTATCTTTTTGTGTCTTTTCTTCATGGTTTTCCTCCCCTCTGGTTTCCTAGTGATTAGAAACCCTTAGGTACACCCTCCTCAGTTTCCCTTCTCCAGGGTCAGCTTTGTAACTGATTGATACTTGGCAGCTTTCTGCTCAGCACTCTCTCTCCTTTGATGTCCAAGTTCTCACAGTCATCTCCCTTGTCACATTCTCCTGATCCCCAACCCTGTTATTTCTAAATCAGTGTTCTGTTATTTGAAACCTCAAAAGAAGGTTTAAAAATCTGTTTGGGGCTGGGTACAGTGGCTTATGTCTAAAATCCCAGCACGTTGAGAGGCGGAGGCTGGCGGATCACCTGAGGTGAGGAGTTCGAGACCAGCCTGGCTAAGACGGTGAAATCCTGTCTCTACTAAAAATACAAAAATTAGCTGGGCATCGTGGTGGGCACCTTTAATCCAAGCTACTCAGGACGCTGAGGCAGGAGAATTGCTTGAACGCAGGAGGCGGAGGTTGCAGTGAGCTGATCATGCCATTGCACTCCAGACTGGGTGACAAGAGCAAAACTCTGTCTCAAAATACTACTACCACTATTAATAATATTAATCTGTTTGAAACATGAGTGAATAATAATTGTAGTAGGCTATTTCTCCCCCATTTGCACCCTACCTAGGAACTCCCATGCCACCTGTTTGAAGCCAAAGGACTAACTCCCCAAGGGTGCAATTTTTGGCAGCCTGTGATTCTGGTAAAGAAGATATCTTTAGGCAAGAGGATATTTAAGAATTCTGTAAATTTGATGATATGTACCAGGTTTATTTACCTTCCCCCAAGTGTGTTAACTAAATAATGGCTATCCGTACCTGCCCTCATACCTAACCGCAGGGTAGAAAACAGGGGGCAGATGTGACCGGAGGGCCTTTAGGAGTCCTCCCTCCACTGCAATATCACAACTCCGCACTGAGGGTTTGCCTTTGCTGTCCCTCACCTTTCCTTTTTCTTTTTTCTGTTCTCCAAAATGTATGCGAGGAAGAAGGCAACTAATACTGGAGCGATTGCTCAGGAGTAAAGAACCAGCAGGAGAAAGGACTGGCCCCAGTACACTCATTCCCTCCACCGAGAGTGACTTTTCCATGGTCATAGAGGGCAAGAGGGGCAACCTGAGACCAAGGACGCAGGGACAGTCACTCCCACCACAGCCACCTCCCCTACACGTAAGCACTGTGCTCTACACAATGTTCATTGTGGGGAAGCAAAAGGAGAAGCAGAAGAATGGACCCTGTCATAGAGATGTGACTTCAGTTTGAGTGGGTAGGAAAGGATCTTCTGTCCCTCTTGTGTCTTTTTAGAAAGTGGCTGACATGGGTTAAAAGTCTAGTTAGTAGTGTCAGAGTAATCCCTGGGCATAGGCGACATCAAGAGAAACTCAAATGGAGTGATTCCTAAGGGCAGACTCAGGATAAGAATAATAATTCTCATTTATTAAGCATTTTAGATCTATATTTTTCTGTGTGTATATACAGACATACACATACATACATATATAATACATATAATTTCCATCTTCATTTTACAGGTAAAGGTCCTGAAGATTAGTGATTTGCTCAGGGTCATTTCAAGAATGTTGGAGATAGCAGTTGAACCCAGTCTGTTTATTTACTAGCCCGTGGCTTATTTTTCTCTGTATTCTGTCTCAGATTCTGTGATCACAGGCTAATCTCAAGACTACTCAACTGCAGCTAAAATTATACTAGGCCTCTGCACAGAAAGAAAGGAATAACTTCCATAGCAGACACAACACCAGGGGCTTGTGCATATCCTATTTAATCACTGCAGTGATGCAGAGACTTATTATTTTCACCCACTTTTTAATAGATAGAGGAGCTGAGGTCCAAAGGGTTTCCAAGTTAATTCAGCTGCCAAGAAGAATAAAAATAATGGCAATATATGTGATGGCTTATTATGTGTTAGGCACAATGCTAACTTCTTCATAGTTCCGAACCAGTAGGAGGTCTGAGAAGTGAGCCATCCTCAGGAAGTTAAAACATTGTTCTCCAAAGGCCCATGTGAAAATGCAAACATTTTATTTATGATTAAAGAAAGTCCTCACTAACATGACAGCAGGGATCAGTTTGCCGAAACGCTTATCAGAGGAGAGAGCCATATGGAACATAGGTATTTGATTGAGAGAGAAGTAAATTAAGACACAATAATTCTAAGATGAAGAAGAAATACTATAAAGGTAACTGATATCTTTATAAATGATGAATATTCAATTAATTTTTAAGTGTTTGTATTCTTAGAAGGCCTGTTACTGGTGGGTGGAAACTATATGGCACAAAAAAAGTTATGTGCTCTCAAAGTGCTTTCTCAGGGGGATCTGTGATGTTTTCCTGTGGCATTAAATAGCATAATTGCTCTTTGTGGTCTCATGTCATAATGGTGTCAGTGCATTTCCAATGATAATTCATTGAGTTTTCTGACTGGTCCCCGTAATATGTAAGGGAAGTGGTAGAAAGGGAAGGGTGTGGTCCCTTTAAATGATAGGGAAGGGGGAAGGAAAGTGTTGGGTAGAGGGAAGAGTGGTGCCTGGCTTAGGGCTTCACCTCCCTGGGCCTTTGCCCATGGACCTGGGTGAGGACAGGCATTTTTGCGGCATGGACAGCAGCATATCGAGAGGAATGCACCAACCTACAATCACACTGGCATGCCAGAGTGGCCATCAGCCAGCAAAACGAAGTCAGGGGCAGTTGTAGGAAAGCCCAGACCATCAAGTGGCCTAACTCCAGGGGAAAACCATCTTTCTTCTGGTTCCTCCATCTGCTGAGATCTACTTCCACTCAATAAAATCTTGCACTCATTCCCGGAGCCCATGTGTCATCTGATTCTTCTGGTACACCAAGACAAGAACCCAGAGATACAAAATGCCCTTTTACCTTGAGATAAGGCAAGTATCTAATTGATGGCTAAATTAAAAGAGCATCCTGTAACACATGCTCACTGGGGTTTCAGGTGTAAACATTCACTCTTAGACACTGTTGTGGGGTCAAAGTCCCGCAGGCTGCCCATCCGTATGCTCCCCTAACGGTCTGAGCAGCAGGGCACTGAAAAAGAGAGTCACACCCCCATCACACACCTTTCGAAAGGTAAAAGGGAGGTTTTCTCATTTCACTTGCCTTTGTCTAGACAAGTATTCAATGGTGCAATAAACCCATGACATACTTGGCAAAAGTGAATACACAAAACACTTCCCAATGGAATACCTGGGCAAGTAACTTCAGGAAACATTGCATTTTATATTCTTCTTTCTTAGGGATTTCTAATTTCCATCAGTTTACTAAACATTATGAGAAATCCTGTAGTGAAGAAATCAGTCTCCCAAATTTATTTGCATTAGGATATTTTGGAGTGTCCAATGGGAGGGAAACCTCCTGGTGTAAGTATTATCAAATCTATGATCACAGATAATTCAAAGTCCATTTGTCTATTTATGTTGCTACTTTTCTCCAGAGCAGTTGATGACTTTCTACAGGATGGATCTTTACTGAAAAATTTAGACCTATCCTTAACCAAGAATCTATGCCTGCTCATCTTTCTTTTTACAGAATTCCTGCAAATCAGTTAGTAAGCTGGTCCGAGGTGTTGAATCTTATTTTTTGGATTTTGTTTACATGGCTTTTTATACATTTTTTTTACCCCTTCATTTAATGTCTTCTTTAAGATTATTTACCTTCTCTCACTTATTTTTCTGCTTTTACTTATTTGGAAATAATGCAATCAAGGTCTATTAGTGAAGAGGCTGATAATTTTACATGCATACATAATTTTAATAAGGTTACAATTAATCAATATTATCCCTTTGCACTAAACTCAGAAAGAAACATGGATTTTATTCTAATACTCCCCTTTCTGTCTTATGTATTATCGCCATCAATTTCTTAGATTTACCCACACATTTTGTAACTTTTTACTCCTCTTCCTTGGAGTTCATTTAGTTTTTACTCCTCCTCTTCCTTTTTGTTCTTATATTTTAGCTCTTCCTTTAGTGTTTCTGTCTCAAAATATATTTTTATAATTTACTTTGGTGGGAAGTGATAAAAGTCCTTCATATTTTCCTAATAAGTTTATATTCATAGTAATTTTATCTCAATATATTCAAATATTATTTCATTGACAGCTTCTGTGGTTGCTATAGAGATACCCACTATTAGTATAATAGAAATTCCATTCCAGAAAAATCTATCTATTGTACACAAAACCCTAAATTGGTCTGAGTTTGTAATCCTCCTGTACTCACCTTGTCTAATCCTCTCCCTACACACATGGGAGAGGTGGGATAACACTCCCTTCATTGGTTACCTTATTGGGCAAAGTAGAAGAGGTTTTGCAAATGTAAGTGTCAAACTGGTTGAATTTAGTAAGCAAAAAGCGAATGACCTTGAATGAGACTCACGCAATAAGGTGAAAACTTTTTGTATTTTTAATTTTTGTGGATACATAAAAGGTACATATATTTATGGAGTACATGAGATGTATTATACAGGCATGCAATGTGAAATAAGCTCATCATGGAGAATTGTGTACTCACCCCATCAAGCATACAACCTCTATGGAGAACAGTTTCAAAGTTCCTCAGAAAACTGAAAATTTAGCTTCCATATGATCCAGCAATCACATTGCTGGGTATATGCTTGAAATAAAGGAAATTGGTATATTGAAGAGATATGTGCACTCCTATGTTTTTTGTAGTACTGTTCACAATAGCTAAGATTTAAAAGCAACCCAAGAATCTGTCAACAGATGAATGGATAAAGTCTATGTGGTACATACACACAATGAAGTACTATTCAGTCATAAAAATTGAGATCATGTCATTTCCAACAACATGGATGGAAATAGATATTATGTAACGTGTAATAAGCCAGACACAGAAACACAAACGTTTTCATTTATTTGTGGGATCTAAACATCAAAACAATTGAACTACTAGGCATAGTGGATGTAGGTAAAAAGTTTTAAAAGATGGACATAGATCTTTCTAAACAGAGAGGTACTCTTCTGTTCCCCCTTTAAAAAAAAAAAATGTATGCTGTGAGCTGCCTACAATGAAGACAGGCCTCTAGAAGCTGGAGGCTTTAGTCTTACAACTGCAAGGAATTAAATTCTGCCAGGAATCTAAAAGAGACCCTCAAGACCCAGATGAGAAAACTACCTGGCTGATAACCTGATTGCATCCCTGTGAGACCTGACCCAAGAATGCTCAGACTCCTCACCATGGAAACCATGGAATAATGAATTTGTCAAGAAGCACTAAGTTTCTACTCATTTATTAGCAATAGAAAACTCATATTACATGTTCTTTCTTCCAACTTTGAAAATCTTTTTTAATGGCACTCTGCAATTTCAGTACAACATGCCTAGGTATGGGTCTAGTCGTATTTCTTTAACTTGGAACATATTGTATTTCCCATACCTGAGGATTTTTAATTTTCACAAAGTCTAAAGAATTCACAGTCATATTCTGCTTATATTCTCTCTACCTCTTAATGTATTTTCTAGATTTATCATTCTGTGACTTATTCTGTGTACATTCTTTAATCTCCAGTTTACTAAATCTATTTTTAACTCTGCTGTTGCATTATTTTAAAAATCCACTGATATTTTAAAATTTTAATGGCCTTAGTTTTTATTTACATACATTTTATTAGGCTCTTTTCAAAGTATGTCTTATCACTATAATAGTAGATCATTTTTTTCTCATATTATACTTTGTTCTTTTATTTATTAAATTGTTATAAACATAATTATTTTATATTTTTATCCATTATATTGTTAATGATTTTTTTCAGTTATAATATTATAATAATTCATGGTGATTTGTTCCTTTATGGCTTATTAATTTGGTACTTTAAACTCAATTCAAAGTGTCACCTGACTGATTGGTCTTTGTTTTTGCCTAAGTGGTTTGGGCCTCTTTTTATGCAAATACTCAGTATGGTGGCTTCTGAATCATGTACAAACATGAGTGGGTTCAGGGCTGAGTTTATAACTTCTCTGGGAAAAATAAAAGTGCCTTAAGTATTTTTATTATTAGAGTCTGGATTAAGATCTTTAAACTTCCTTTTACTCTCTCTCTATGATGACCCTGTGTTATTCATTTTGTGCATCAAAGATTCTGGCTTTCTAACAGAATCTCACTTCTATCATCACATTCCATATGAGCCCAACATTTACCTCCTATCATTTTGATGCCATTTAAATTCACAACTCTTGGTTAATAAGATGAGCATATGTTGTTAGAGCAGCCAGAGCCTTAGCCTACCCACTTGAGACTCAGTTCTCCATCAGGGTCTGGTAATTCAGAATTTCCCTAGCTTTCCTATTTCCTCAGATCTATATCTTAAGGTATGTTAGTGATATTTCTTCAAAACGTTCCAATTGTCTTTAAAGAAAAGTTGCTTTGTTCTTATTAACTATTTGGCTATATTGTTGAAAACAAATTTTAGAAATGACTTAGAAGTCATCTAGACTAACGCATTATCCAATATTTGAATTCTCCTACTTCTACTAATATCACTATTTATAGAAAACGGATGTGTGCCAAGCAGTTTGCTAAGTGCTTTTGTGTATTACTTAACATATTCTTACAAAAAATTTACTGATTTAAAGAATTATTTGTAATATATATAGAAAAAAAATGAGACTGAGAAAGATGAAATGACTTGCATACATGTTCACATGCCAACAAAGCAATTGCAAAGTCTGAATACAAATCAAGGGCTTTTTCTTTCTTTCTTCCTTTCTTCGCTTCTTTGAAGCCCATCAGTTCCTACTGCATGGTATTCCACACTACAGTTTTGGTACTAAATGCTTACTCAGCTAATTC